TATTTTCTATTTAAAACGAAAATCTATCCAATGATTTTATATTATAACAACAAAATATGCAAATATAATTTTAAATTTAATTTTTTATAAGATATGTATAAAGTATATAAAATTTTAAAATAATTTCAACTTTTATCTTTAAACTTTGAGAAAATTCTATTTTAGTAATCCCACACCTATCACATAAGTGTTAATTAACGTCATCACATAGTGCTAACTGATATTTGTTATCAAATTAGATAGTTTCATAGACGGAAGGATCAAAATTGGATTTTAGGAAATTAGAGATTTGATTAAAACTTTTTAAAATTTAAAGATTAAAATAAAATTTGAATCAAAATTAATGACTACAAGTGCTATTAATTCTTTTGCAAATTACAAGATCTCATTTACAATGAAGCTAGAGCCTGTGGATATTCACCATCCTCCATGTTGTAATACGTAATATCTTTAAGAATTTTTTAATAATAATAATAATAATACCAAAATGACAAATACAATGGTGTGGCTTTTAGAGTATGGTTAATTTTTTTTTTTACCCTAAATGAAGTTTGAATTTTTTTTTTTTTGTTTACCTTTCTGTTAATGGGTTTTGAACCTTAATTAATTTAATTTAGGAACTCTTGGCCATGAGAATTACTTTAATTAAATCCTTGATAGCACGGAGTACTCCTGCTTAATTTACATTTGTGAATTGTCATGAGCCGCTGGAAAAAAAAATTAATAAAACAGCGTTTTTCTCCTTTTTTTTTTTGTTTTATTTTTTCATACTTACTATTGATAGAGAATAAACAAGATTATAGCATATAAATATTAAAATTAGTGGAATGATATTATATATAATAAGATTTCATCTTGCTATCGAAACTGTCATGTAGTATTATAATAAAGAAGTATAATGATATTGTTTGCTCTCCAACTATGAAAAAAAAAAAAAAGTGATTTTAATTTTTAATTGTTTATCTGGGATCAGTTTGATTCCTTTTTTTTTTTTTTTTGTTAATTTCTGATAATCAACTTATCGTCTCAAAGTTGTTCAGATCTAAACAGAAATACTAACAGCTGTTTCGTTAAGATTGTCACCTGAACTGTTGTATAAATTATACACCTGTAATTATTACGATGTTGCAGTAACATGCCACGTATCTAGTTGATGATGTAGCAACTCAAACGGTAACAGAAAACATGATCCTTAACAAAAAATCGATCCCTTAAAGAAAAAAAAAAAACCCAGGCCACCATACGCTTGGCTTTCTGTTCACTGCTTCAATTAATTTGCATAGGATTCACTGCTCCGCTGAGTGCTGTGGTCTTTCTTTCCGAGCAAAAAGCTCACTCTTAAATTTGTTAATAGGAAAAAAAAGAAGGCAAAAATATCCAAACCAATTCCCCAAAAATATGCAAACGCACTAACAAATCAAATCAATTAGTATTATCTTTTATTATCTTATATATTAAATTTCTCGTCTCCATTCTTTTCTTCTTCTCGGGGCAACTTCTTTGCCTTTGCCCCACTTTTCTCAGGGAAAAAATATTAAAACGAATAAAAAAGGATATGGTAGTAGCAAATTTGGTTTACTCTACTCCTAGTGCTACTACTGTCATTACCCCCCCCCCCCCCCAAAAAAAAAAAAAAAGAAAGGACCCAGGAAACACAAACAACGTACCTTGTCAGTGAAGAAGAAGATATTGGTTGGAGTTCATGGCGTCTCGTGTGGACTGAAACCAATCTGGCTCGGGCGCCTTCAAAGAGGATGACTCAGGCTCAAGCTATAACGGTGGAAATTCCCTGTGAGGATAAAACCATGTATGGCAGATAGTGAGTTGGTCCCTTCCAGCTTCAATTCCATTTTCACCACTCACACGTACTGGTATGAACCTTCCCTTTCCTCTATTATCTCCCGGCCCTTCAACTCCCACCCAAGTTCTTCACATCTACGACAGCGTTTTCCAGCGCTTCTCTGCTAAGGTTTACCCGACTGATGCCCTCAAGCTCCAAACACTTTCTCACATCATCGCTGTCATCCTGAACAATTCAGGCACTTGCAAACCACGTGCTCGTCACTTGTTATGCCTCAAAACCACCGACAGCGCTGGCCTTTTGAAAGAATACAACTTTGGGTCCGATCAGGTTGGTTGTAGGGACAGGAAACTTTTTTTTTTTTTGTTAAAGTTAAGTAATCAAACATATTAAGAATATTTGTGGTTATTCTCATGAGAGAAATTCTAACAAAAATAATTTAATACTAATGGCTGGGTTTTTAAGCAAAACCAAGGATAAATTGGGCTGAGAGATCATATATTGGAAAAGCCAGTTGCCCACATTGTTCACTATATTAATCTAATTAAGTAATAATAATCTGCTTAAGTCGAGGAAAACAAATTAGACAATTATATATAGTCAGTTTGTGAAAGAAATCTTGTTGGGCCTACTCATAATATTTTTACAAAACGTTCCCCATCTATCCCCAAAAGAAACGCGACTGCCTTGTTATTTCCATGCAATTTCTGTTAATATATCTTATATCTTTTTTCACTTTCAGAATCCAATTTGGAGAATTAAGAGTTAGTGAGACTAATTATAGTATATAGGGTGCTAAGTGCTAACTGCAGCTGCTAAAGAGGCGAGCCCGTGCAGAAACGGCCAGCACCATCCTAATACTACGATCGGATCAAAAGGTTGTTCGTTACAGCAACAAGAGCTAGCTATGTCGTCCACGGTCCATGCACGGTCTGCATTGCATGCCTCCTCCAGCTTGAACCAGATCAATGTCGAGGCCAGCGTTCATGCAGCAAGCTAGCACTATCCTAATACTACGATCGGATCAATGGTTGTTGGTTACAGAAACAAGAGCTAGCTATGTCGTCCACGGTCCATGCATTTTTTGACAACTGCACGGTCTGCACTGCATGCCTCCTCCAGCTTGAACCAGATCAATGGCGAGGCCAGCGTTCATGCAGTTAGCTAGCATTAAGCTGCTGCATGGCTAGTGTCTCATATTGCAAGCATTACAGATATAAGGCTACACAGTACAAAACGCTAAAACACATTCTTAATCTAATGGTTCAAACGTCAGCGGAAATTTTACATGAAAGAGAGGCACCTGATTTATGTTTTGCTGGTAAAAGTTTTTCGACATTTTCGCTTTGCCGGCACTCTGAACCTGATTCGCAAGGAAAGTCATAGCAAGGGTAGAGATGAAGACATGGCTGCTGATGGCTGGTTGTGTTGTTTCTACTTTGTAGCTATGGCGCCATAGCATGGCGTGCCCATTTGACCTAAAAAATAAAGCTCAAAAGATCCACGCAGTGTGAATTGTGAAGGGATGACACCAACCCACGAGGGATGTAAATTTGAATTACACTTAATTAGTCATATCAATTTTTTGGGTGTTGTTTTAGCTTCTGCTCTGGTGTTGACAGCAAAGCATAACATAGTACTTGTAGTATGTATAGAATAGAGACAGCCAGATGGAAGGATACCGATAATGTCTTTGGCCAACCGCTAATTGCTAGGTTGCCAAAGCACGCAATGTATGTACGGATACTACTTCTTCTTAATAATAAAAAGGAAAAGAAAAACCCTATCATATGTAAATATATATAAAAGGGGCATTCAATTAGGTAGTAGAACACATGATAAAGTTGATGAGATCTGAAATGTGAGAGTAAGCCCCAGCATAAGTATCATTTATTATAGGCAAGCTGACTTAATGTGCAAGAGTGAATAAGAAATGAAAAAGAATTGAAGAAAAAATTACTAGATAAGTAGGCAGATAGCCGTCCTAATTATAGAAATTCAGACGAGACTTGTCTTGCATCCATTATATATATATATATATATATATATATTTAGTTTAGGAGCTTCTCTTTGTATTTCATTTTTTTTTTTTTATTTCAAATTCTATTTACACTCTAAATTTAAAACCTATACATACATTTTTATTCATTACACATATTTCTTCGTTTTCTTCTTTCCCTTAAATTCCCTTCACACCCATTTTTCCTTTCTCTTTCCTTCTTCTCGAAATCACACCCTTCAAACCCTAAATCAAATTTCATCCTTAAAACTTCAACTCAAACCCTAAAATCATCATTATATATTTTAAATATTAAGACTGAATTGACCAAGACTGAAGTACTTTTTTTTTGTAAATTTTGAACATGTGATTAAATTTGTGATAATGTTGTGAAATATTATATAGATTTTGAAATTATGTAGATATGAATATCCATATGCTTTTTAAGTTTTGCAAAAATGCATACTCGTACAAAAATTATAAACCCAATGGTTTCGAATACATATTTTTGAAAAAATACTAATTTTTTAAAAAATGTATATTAAAAAAGTTTAAAGACCCTTTGAAAATATATTTTGGACAATTTAAAAATTTTTCAAAAATGCATAATTTTTTGAATATGCATTTTAAAAAGGTTTTTAAAATTTTTGAATATATATATTTTTTCGTATGAACTATAAACAAAAAATAAGTGGTTTTTTTATGGATAAAAAATAATTTTATTAAAAATATTTAAGTAATTTTACTAATAAATATTGTTATCATAAAAAATTAAAATTTTTTCATTGTAAAGAGCAAAAATGGATGCATTTAGAAGTTCTCATTTAGATTCTGCTTCCATTATTTCGGTCGGCATTGAAATATTTATAAGTTTCATACTTGAATGCTAATAATATTATAGTTATCATGAGACTTGTCTCAGTCACAGTTTGAAGTGATACGAAAGATTTTACTCTGACAAGTGCTTGAATGCCAGTTCAGGTCTTGAGAGCCGCCACTGATCACGTAGAAGGATACGACCATTTTGGAGCTATGTCCTTTTTCACTTGTATAAGTATCTTCAGGATTTTGCTTCTATTTCTTAAAGCTCGTCCACTGATCATCATAACAATAATCATGTTAGTTATGCCCTCTGAATGGCAATAAAAGTTAGTTTCTCCCATTTAGCAATCAACAAGGGGAACCACAAAAGAAATAACAAGAACAACAAAACCAATATATAATATTATATAACAGGAAAAGACATTTACTGTTTTCAGTGTCTTGGTACCGTGTCCGAAAGGATTCAGAGGATACCATCTCTATTTATCTCTTTATATTTTTAAATCATACGAGCTATAGATTACAACTGTACTGAATTATTAGTAACAGTACAGATATTCCTCTAGGGCTCTTCCGACTCAGGCTTCATAACATATATTCTATTAACTAATGGCATGTTTCTGTTCGACTCCCACTAGCTGCTCAAGAATGGAGCATAGACCAATTTATTTAAGCGACAAACAAGCCCTTTCAAGTACTGATAAAGGGCACATTTTAGGTTTTACAAACCTTATCCAGGAGAACACTGGCATACAACAAACATAGAATAAATTCAGTTGGTACACGAGGGTGGTTGTGCAGGGATCCAGGCATATGCAAATATTTACAGGCCTTACCATGCACCTAGCATTTTTTTCATGTTCTCAGGCTTGGAAATGCAAGTGGAACAGTATTAGTTCGAGAATAAACAATCAACTTGTGTGCAAAATATGACTGGTTTGATGTCTGACACTTCATCGAGCTTTTAAGCTTCTCTTGTTTTGCAGCATCAAGGAAGGTGCTTCAGATTTTTCCTGCTGAAAATTAGACAAGTCAAATACTGATTGAAGTATTCAAGAAAAGAGAGTGCAATAACTGGGTTTTTGGAAGAGATTAATTTGAATCCAAAATGAAGAGAAGGGAGTGCAATAACTGGGGTTCTTAGAAGCTAACCCCATATTTATGAAGATTACAGTCTCACAAAGTTTGATTTCGTGAATGCTCTTTTCTAACAGTAAGCTTCCGCTGACGCTTGTGCCCAACCAATTTCATCAAGCCAGATGAGGGAGCTTCCCTTCCAAATTTCAGGTCTTCACCTCTAATCATGTATATATTTCCTGCTTCAGGCACAGTAAAATCAGCAGGATTTCTGTTAATGCAGCAGATTTCATTCTCTGAACCACTTTTTGGATGGAAAGGAGAGCCACTCATAGTACGAGACTCCCACTTCTGTTTTGTTGCACCCTGTATCACATGAAGCTGTATGGGAAACATTGTAAAATCTGAAGTGCCAAGCACCGATTTTGGCATACTATGAACAGGAATAGATCCGCAAGTTGTGTTTAAGCCACTACTTGAAGATACAGTTTTTTGTGATCTGCGGTATCTATTCTGCGTTTGAGAGTCTGAGCATTTTTTCTTCCCTTTCTCTCTAGACTTTAGTGAAAATTGACCCTTAAAATCAGTTGCCTTCTTGAAACTTTTATCATGCTGGAATGAAGAAGTAGAAGGACCAACTGCTGGAGTGGCTGACGTACATTCACAGAAACTCTCAGGTAGGTGGCTTTTACCATAACAATCATAAGATGGATGTTTCATCGAATTGCTCCTATATCTCCCAGATGGCAAGCTTGAAAACTCTTTAGAGTGATGACCATGAAGAAAGGAAGTTTTCTTAACAAATGTATGATCTCCGTCCACATCAACTGGTGTACCTGACTGTAACCCTGCATCCATAAGGCTGAGTAAATGCATGGCTGGCATGATTTCATTAGGATACTGATCTAACGACCCATTATGTTTGCAAGTAAATGGGTAATCTGCATGTGTCCTTCTAAGGACTCCAGAATCAAACTTCCCACTATGCTTTTCAAAGTTTGAAGCCAGATCCAAGAAGTTCCGACCATCATTTCCACTTGTATTTCTCTTAGGCAGACTGCCAGGACAATGTGAAAGCACATCTACCTTTGCCACCTGATCTGCACACTTCTGAGGGATACTGCACAGATAGGGCATGTTATTTGGTATCATGGATGACCATAGATGAGCTGCTTCTCTATTCTGCTGTGAAGCACTCTGGCATGTGTTACAAACTCCCCATGCTTGCATGCTAGTGTGAGAGGACCTCTGCCCAACCATGTTCCCGATCCACTGGCAATTTTGAGCACTGTTTTGCCTGCTGGAATTGGTGGCACAAAATTGGATTCCGTGCAATGGCTTTTCTCCACATAGAGGAAAATGCCTAAAGCCTGGAGGAGAATAACTTTGTTCCAATTGACTCATATTGTACTGATTTTGGTCCATATGAGAGAAATAATCAACTGACTTTTGTCTACTGGGTCCCACATTATCACCACTTACAATTTTGCCAATTCTTTCGTATTTAGCTCGTGGTTTTGGTTTGTCAGTGGTCTCATGAAACAGGCTTACCTCTTCATTTCTATACACTTTATTAAGATCAACCCTCTGATGATTTCTGGTGTTATTGGTTGTTTCTGAAGGATGTTTTTCAGTCTCAGTATCAGGAAGAAACCTCTCATACTGATTCTTTGCCATGAGTTCAACGATTTCCATGGGTATGTCATCTAAAGCTCCTTCCTCAGATGCCATCTCAGCTTGTAGATCATAATGTTTCCTAGCAACTGTTGAATGGTCCTGAACCTCCACAGTTTTACCATTGTTGCTTGTACCACTGAAATCCTGCAAAAGAAACAGATAAGAGGGAAAAAAATCTCCTCTCAATTACACAGGAACAAAAAAATGGGAAATCAAATATGCATTAATGATCCAAATTATTCCTAATTACTTGGGAAACATAGGGGAACATCTGCCACAAAGGTTAGCTATGTTTTCAGGTATATGTTTGACCCACTCATAATGCGAAATTTAAATGATTGCTTATGTTAATCAATGCTACATATATGTGATATCTTCAAAAATATGAATGAGAAAGATAGCGTCTACGTTTGCCAATATAAGATGACATGAGCTTATTTCAGAGCCACAATAGTCATCAGTGTAAAAAAATTCCAAGAAAGATTTACATTTTTCTTGCAAGGATTAAGGATGGAAGCAGAAGTGGTTTCAAAGTCTAATGAAGTTGGGGATGATTTCATACAAAATCTTTGCAGATACTTATTCTGATGAAACAGTCAAGGTTGGAATAAGCAAAAGACGATAGCTTCACATTTCCATGAATACAAGTATGTAAGTATAGCAGAGTTCTCAATTATATGAACCTGTTTTCTCAAAAAGAAGATGCGTACACTTTTAAGCATTTCTTACATGTCCTCCAAAGAATTCCATCATCTGTGAAATAGTGTTTTAACTGTGTTTGATTTAATAGTTTATCTTCCAGTTCGATTATTAGAAATTAAAGTTTTATAACTGGATGTGGAAAAAGGAATGTTTCTCGCTCAAAAGCCAGAAACTTTAATCTGGATGTTAACCATAACTTGAATAATTCAGGTGTACCAAAACAGAATGTAAAACAATCATAGTTACAGAGGAAGAAAACCAAATTTTGGGGAAAAAGATCACAAAAATTGTCCTGCAACAAATATCCTGTGCATCTTTTTTGTTTTTTAAATGCTAGTTCAATAACTGGAGTAACAAAAGAAAAGATCATACCATTTGCTGAATCAGAGAACAATTCCCAACTTCAGCATGAGATCTCTGCTTTTGCTTCTCATTCAGGAATGGTATTCTGTAAGTAGTTTGGTTACTGTTGAGATCAACATGCATTCCCTTCCATAGAGAGGCATCTAGCTCAGATTTAGATGGAAAACTAGACTCCCCAACAAAGTTCATATTTAGATCTTTCCTCCCAACCTCATACTCACTGAGAAAACACCCTTGCCATGGCAATAAACATGGTAGCCCGTCTCTGATAGGAGAAATATTTTTTGCATCATATCTTTTAGCAGGCAAGAAATTATTAAGAGAAAAATGCAGTCCTTTTTCAGCTGATGCATCCTGGGTTACTTCAAGTGGAACTGCTATGGACCCATTTTGTCTTACTCCTGCATCTTTCCTTGAAGTCAAACCTTCTCTGAGAATGCCATTGTTCCAAGGAATTGGAGAAACATGCCCATCATGATCATGATGCATCTTGCTCTTTTTCTTCAATAAATTAGATTTTTTCTCTGCCTTTTGGGCAGATTCAGGAAAGGGATCCAACCCACTGCCTGTAGAAACATCATTTGATTTGTACAGAATAATATCAGTGGCATTGCTCTTAGTGGTATCTGTAGGCTTTTTCTGTCTTTCCTTCTGCAGATTTTCTCCAGACAGACTCAAGGACAAACATCCATCAAAATTCTGGGCCTTTTTATTTTTCTTCTTTCCTAGAATAGGACTTTTATCAACTTTAAAGTTAGCCAAATGCCTCTTTACTGGAGCTTGTGAGCTACTTCTATTAGCTGTACCTTCTGAATCAGAACTTGCGATTCCATCAGCAGTTTCTGCAACTCTGTTGAAGGTCCTAAGGTTCTGATGTCCATTATTTGGAGAGCTCATTTCCCCAGGTCTCCATTCTTCATCTTGTGGCAACTTTCTTTTCCTGCTATGAGCCAAACTGCTGGTAACATTTCCTTGGCAATTGGCCTGACCTTCGGGAGCAGACATTGAATCTATGCCTACAGATGCATCAGGAATGGCAGTGGAAGGAGAATCTTCCATACTCGTGAGATCAGGTTTTTCATCTCCATTTTTACCCAACAATTCAGCCAGCAGACGCACCTTACGGGTTTTTCTTCGATGCAAGCTGCCAGATCCAATACCAAGCAATATCTCAGCCCTTTCAGATGATGCATAATCACAATCATCTAATTCCAATGAAGGATGTTCGGCTGTACAAGTCTTGATAGCATCAGGAACCCTATTAACCATACTGGTTATCCCATAGGATCCACGAGCTTTCACTAACTCCATCTGCTGATCACAGGCAGAAGCATGCTTTCCTGCTTGACGTGTTTCAGTGGCATCCTTAACCATGCACTTTGGGTTTGATTCAGGAAGCTTGACACCATCAACTTCATCATCTTTTAAATTGACCTTTTGATGGAGCTGAGAAGCCACTGTTGCAGTTCTAGTTTCAGTTGCAAAGTAGGAAAATGGTTAAGCTTTTTTTATGGTCTTTTGGTCATAGTAGACATACCTTTATCATCTATACGAAGTGATTGCTGCATAAGGCTAGAAATAACTTCTATTCCAGCATAATTTGAAATATGGATTTCTGGATTAATGTTATTTTCTAAGACATATGTTTGCCCTGGAAAAAGCGCCAAAAATAATTAACGCTCTAATGTAGTGGTAATCACATGAGAATCAATTGAGATAGGATAGAAATATACCTATGATTGGTATATCTGCAATTTCAGCTTTCTTTTCACTTCTATCACTAAATAAAGGATGACATTCATTGCTACCAACATTCAGAGAAGCATTAGAATCATGATGTTTTCTTGATTCAACATTAATCTTTCCAGCCTGCTGCAAATCTGATAACCATGTCACAGCATCCCCATGGGATGACACATTGGAACAAGAGCCAAAGGATTTTAATTTGCTACTATTATTAGCAACAGTTCTTTCTTCATTCATACTGCCTTCAGCCCCAATATCCTGCAGGCAGCTATGGCAACACCACCATCTGAACTTTGGAACAAGTAAAGGAGGCAGCTTATAGTTTTGTTCTTCAGATATATTCTGGCCACCATCTAATGCAAATGGCCAACACTTCTTCCAGTCTTTGTTGCGCATCTCAGATGCATATCCACTGCATTTAAAACAAATGGAATTTATGACGAAGATTTCCAACATGAACATTAATGTACTACATAAAGCAAGTCAGAAAATAGTGCTCAAAGAATTATATATCTGCATAAGCCATTGATACATATCAAATCTTGCAATAAATTTCCCTCAATATCTAACTTTAATCCCTTTATTAGATGGCATTACATAAATTAGATGTTTAGTATCCTGTCATACTTCTCGGCGATATGGTCCTCGCAGCCACTAGGTTAATCCCATTCCATCTCAAACATTATGCTAATAAAGAATAAAATACCTCAGCTAATGCTACTAATTATAACTAGAAGATCCAAAAAGTTCGGATCCTATTATCAAAAGTTGGGAAAAAAAACTCATGTGCACACATAAACAAGCAAGTGATGAAGTTAGTGAGGAAGCATGAACAACAAAAACAAAGAAGTTAATTCATTTTAATAATTCCCATAATTTGATAAATAAATTCATTTTAATAATTCCCATAATTTGATAAATAACTTTAAAATCCATTAGTTTATAATAAGGCAGTAAGCTAAGAGATGCAGTACCCTCATGAATCAAACGATTCCGTGTAAAGACATCTCTCTCAAATACATATGAACTTACTGCATATAGCCCCACACTACCATATAGACTTTTCAACAACAATGGTAATATAGAGAGGTTGAGAAAGTTCAACAAATTCACAAGAGCAATGAATAAAGGATCATGACTTACCGAATAGAAAAATGCTCACACTTCCCAGTATCAATGTCATCATTAGCATTGTTGAGATCTATAGATATTGAGCCAATCCTTATTGGTGATTCCACAGACTTGGCAACAAGATTAGAACTGCAACTCTGATGAGTTTCCTTGACCGCAATAGTTGTCTCCATGTTATGAGTAACTAATTAATCAATGCCACCAAAGTGCAAAAAATAAGATATCTTATGAGATATGTAGTAACATTGTAACTATATCTATGCTACGTGATCAATATGCATGAAGCTATAAGATATTAAGTATACCACAAGAACTTAAGCACACACTTTATTTGTAATTCCTAGGAAATTCAAGATGAAAACTACCTAGTCATAGTAAAATAGATATACTAAAACAGATGAGAAGCTGGAAAGCCCCTATATATGGTGATTTATTACATAAAATAATAACTTATAGCGGCCGACAAGTGAATACTATTCAAAGGGAACAAATTGGAAACCCTAGTCCCTATGAAATCAAACATAAAGATGTTAGTAGTTACTACACTAATATTTTAATAACATCCAAGTAAATTAGATAGCAAAATCCAACCATTTATAATACACAGTAAATCACGAAATAACATGGATAAGGTAAACAACATGTTAGGGTTTTATCAGGAAATAAAAACAAATGAAGTTCGCAAAGAGAAGAATATTTTTGTTATCTCCCCTATAGCAAAGAAACAAACCACTTTAAAACTCACTTCCAAAACCTTCGAGTTAGATGGTAAAATAATCCACATTAATTCATAAAATGAAAATTTTTCTAGGGTTTCGTCACATCCAAATTCACAAGCCAGTGAACAGTGAACACAATTTCTAACACCAGAAAACCCATAAAAAAAACCACATAAAATATCCATAAAAGTGAAAAGATTAACTCATAAAGCAAAACCCAGATGCCAAAATGTTAAAACAAAAAGACTAAACTTAACGTGCTAAGCACAGTAAACTTACCCAAATAACTGAAATAAACAAGCTCCAGCTTAGCTTAAATCATATTAATCAAAATATAACCAATCTAAAATAAAGACCAAAAACCCAGATCTTTAAATTGTAATTAGATTAGAAAAACATACCTTTAGTTGAGTTAGCTATCTGTTAAAACAATCTAAATTCTAAAACCAACCCAGATTCGATTCTTCACGGCCAGTCGAGAAAATGGTATCAAAAGAAAGAACATCGAGCGACCAAGAAGAAGATTCAGTCCTTCTGAAGAGATCTGAAGCTTGTTGTGTAGAATTTGAGTGCGAAGTTTGGAGAAACCCTAGCTTTAACAAGGGGAGGTAATATCGATTCTTTTAGAGAGAGAAAAGGAGTAGACAGAAATGAGTTTTTATCTTTTGTCCTTGAAAGGAGGGTCTTTGTTGTTGTATTAAAATCGTCTGTTAATTGTCACCAAAAAAAATCGTCCGTTAAAAAACAGACATGGTCATGCCATGTCATAACATTACACCATGCATCCATGTGTAGAGAGAGAAAGAGAGAGTTAAGAGAGAGAAAACCGATATGCGGAAAAGAACCAATGGATTTAGTCCACGTGGAAGGAAGGTGCGGTTCTTATCACAATCCATTATAGGTGTTGTGTCTTCAAGGGAAAACCCTAGAGGGAATAGTGAAAAAGCACACTATTCGCACGCGTTGTTTGCACGCTCCTGTTCCCCGGCATCAAATTTTCAATAGTCCTTGTCGTATCATGTGGTCTCAAAGATGCCTTTGCACGCATACAACCTTTGATAGGAGCGTATTATGAAAACTCCAATGAGGGGCGTGGAGTTGTTTGAGGTGAAACCCTAAGGTTTAATTTCTTTTATTTTTCTATCATGTAATGAAATATGTAACCCTAACTAGCCCATTTTCATAATAAATATCTAACCCTAACCCTGGCCTAGTAAACTAGTCAGTATACTGAGGGGTGGTAAAGGGTGTGGATCACATTCATATAGAATTGGGTTGGGAGCACATCAACTATTAGCTTTCAATCATGAAAATATATTTATTTCATATCCTTTTTTCTCTGTACATGTATCCTTTGATCAGAGGGCATCTTTGCTTTTATTCCACCCTTTGAATGTCACCCCACCCTTCACCTAAATTGTACCATTAGATATGTTAGTTGATGATTTAAACTTACAATCTCCTTGTAATAAATTCTTCCATTATTGAATATAAAATTTATTTCTATTTATTTATTTAAATACTTTTTAAGAAATCGACAAATTTAAGATTTAAATTCAAAACTTATAATCACTTCTTTTATTTTTGATCTGTAATTTTTTTTAATAAAAATTTTTCTTTCATTATGTTTATAAGTTGAAAATTTTTCAACCAAATGATGGATAGATTCTTTACTTGCAGAATAGGGAAAACTTGAATAAAGTCATAAAATAAGAACAAAATTAAGGGAGAAGTTTATCCCTATCGGGTAGGTTGGGGCTTAAGGTAGCGAAGAGGAGAGAAAAAAAATTGCACCCTATTGGATATAAGTGAAAACAGAAGGTTACTTTTGTTAATTATGACGTGTTGGGTGAAGAAAAAAGAAAAGTTGAGATCCTTTACTTCTGAATTAAGTATTAAATTAAATTTGGTTGTTGATTTTTCCAAATTAAAAGAGACCATCGAATTCATTTGGAGAGAAAGTGTCCAAATATATGCATGATCCAAAGTCCATGCCGATTGGTTTATCCAATGAATGTGAATTTGGTTTTTTTCTTCATTTAATTTCCGCATTCCCTGTTGACAAATCTTTCATTCAATCTTACCATGTTTTCTTAGTTTATTAAAACAAGAAGAAGAAGATTGTAAGTAAGATGTTTGGAGTTTTTGGTATAGTTAGTTCAATCGTGTGGTGGCACTGCTAGCACATGTTTCCCAACTAGAAAGAGTAACGCTAGTTAAAAGAAGCCATGCATATGACTTGGATCGACAAAATCATATCAACCATACGTTTTCCTGATGCTTCCAGCAAAAAAAAAAAAAAAAAAAGGACTACAACTCACTTTCAAGTCTAAAGTAAATCAGAGCCGGCATCAATTGTTTTCGACTAATTATGAATGTTATCTAAATGGGTTTTGCAACTTTTATTTCTTGTAGTAATTAATAAGACATAATAATAGAGAAGAAGAACTGGATGGCTAAGGTGGATCCAGTACAGTACCCTTTTCATATAGGAGCATGGGTTTTCCAGTTTCTTGGTCTGGATCCAGGGGTCAGTGAACCCATTGATATTTGTGTTGAATTTGGCAAAAATATGTCATAGATATTGAGAATTTCTTGGGTCTAATGACAGAAAGGGATGCATCATCCTTCTTTGTGGAGAGGGCCCTCCTTCAAATATTCTGCTTCTACTGTCATCGGCACTGACCCAACACGCACATCCAATTAAAAAAAGAAAAAAAAAACTTGTTTCTCAAGAGAAGTAACGTTTAATTCTTTAGATGACTTAAGTTCCCAGCTGCCTGTTCCTGAAATTTCTCAAGCGGCTCATGGTTGCAGTTGCCGCACCAAAATAAAGTTGACTTAGAATTGGTACGTGAATCCCTTGTGTAGAGTAACAGTTTGATATTTTGGCTAATTAATCAGCAGCATATTTCACCTAATTTTTCTGGGATCTGTGATGCATTTTCTTTGGTGGCTCAGATAGTTTTTTTTTTTTCTTTTTTTCAGTTTTGGGTGCTGAAATCTCACCTCAGATTTTGGATGGAAGAAAGCATAACCTTCAACCAACCTTGTTGAATATTGTAAATGCCACAAATTGAACATGGGAATCAACAGTTTGCTGTATATGTAATGTGGGTAAGAGCCGGCTGACGCAGAAGAGTCATGAATCAGAGAGGTTAGCTGATACAGAAAGGGAAAGACCAGACCTTGCAAACTAGTTAAAGAAAAAGGGATATTATCAATCATGAGCCTCTTTATGCTGGAAAATGGAAATTGTTCAGGACCATCATTATTTTTTTTTTTTTTTTGAAAACGCTTTTGGAAAAAACCCACAAACCTTTTTCTGTGTGCTCAAAGAGTTTGTTTCTCTCACATGAAATAAAATAAAAACCAGTTTAAAGTAGAAATAAATCTCCAAAAACCAAGCATATATTGGGTACAATATTCATTATCAGCCTAATCTACTCATTTTCCACCGGATCTATTGTATATATATATTCTTCTCATTATATTTAAAGTTTATATTTAATGTATTATCGATATATAAATTTTATATATTATTAATAAATAAAATGATATTATTTTATTAATTAAATCAAATGATATATCTCACTAATAAATAATTTTTTTAAAGAAGAGATTGTTATTTAAGATATTTATAAGAAAATTATAAGTATCAAAAATCAATTCAATATTGTGAAAATCTACCTCTTAAAATTCATAAGTAATTCATTTAACTTAAGCTCCATGTTAGTAATTTTTATACTTTAAATTAAGGTAGAAACTAAGTTTTATAGCTTTCTACCAATTTCGGTTAGTGTGTCTTTCTTTTATGCATGCATGCGTCCGAGCTTGTATTACTATATATAGTACGAAAGCGTCATTCAAGGAGATTTTCTTGGACAGTTTTCTTTTTAGTAATAACTTTCTTTTTTTCTGGTCAATTAATAATTAGTATTTGATTGTAATTGTTAATCAGGTTGGCAGCAACTTCAGTACTTCATGCTCTAATCCCTGATCTGATCTGATTTTAATTAGTTAGATCTTGAAATTGGAATGTTCATTATCTCCACCTCAGAAACCCGAATAGTAATATATAAATGGATAAATATTAGATATAATTTAGATGGATTTTTTTTTTTACTATTTGTTTGTCTGTTGTTTTTAATTTATTTTTATTATTTTTAAATTTAAAAAAAAAAAGAAAAATTCCAAAATAAATAATAATTATTCGGGAAGGAAATAAGTTGCCTAAACATGGATGTAGGCAACTATCAAGGAAAAAAATAGCTAGGCATAGATTTTGCCGAAAATGTAAGATGATAGATAATCGCATGGCTATTCTGTTGCATATATACAGGGAAATAAAGCCTGCTACAGGGAAACGATTTGATTGTGATCAGACAGACAGCTGATATAACATTGTTTCAGAGCAAATTTGTACAGCAGATGCAGATTATTAGACCACTTCCCTTGTCCGAAATATAATCACAAATCTATCATAGACATGGATGCCGGACATTTGTAGTTCCATGCAGCAGCTATATTTTTAGCTCCAGCGAGTAATACATCTCTCAAAAAAGTAGCCAAGATTTGGTTTTGTTTTTCCTTTTCCATTAAAAAAAAATTGCATGTTCCATTTTGTGATATTTGAGGTTTAAAAATATTCTCATATCCTCCCTTGAAATAAAAACCAAACCAGGACTTTAGATTTCAGGAGTAGTGCTCATTAAAGATCCTGGGGCCATAAGGTTCCTGAGACAACGTCCCACGTATATATTAATAATACATGGATAGGGTTCGTCTTTATTTGTTTGTTTTGCTGTATTTCTGGAATTCTGGTTTATTAATCTCACTGTATCTTTTTTTTTAGTCGTTTTAATTGATGAATACGGCCTTCGGGCATTAACTTGTTTGGAACAATATTACGGTACCGATGTTTTCTTTTCCATTTTGGGTTTTATTCCTGGTTAGCACAGTAAAAATATCAATAAAAATAATTAATCTTTTATGCAATATATATAAATAAATAAAATATGTTTTAGGCAGCTTTTAGAAAAATCTAATTACGTGTGAATTTCATAAACCATAATGTGTAGAATAATCATATATATATATATATATAATTCAAATATTTTATAATAAATGTTAAGTATTTTACATCAATTTTAATTTTATATCTCTTAATTTTATTACATTAAACATTATAGACTTTTGGTTATCTATTTTTAAATGAATTTTTTATTTTTAATTTTCTTTTATTTATATTCTTTAAAATCATTATTTGTTAAAATTTATTGAAACTTTTAGTTTTGTAATCTTAATGTTTTGATTATTAATTTTCTTATCATTTATGATTTTCCATCAAATTGACTTTTTATTTAACTTTTTAAATGCATTTCTGATTTT